ATAGAATAGAATAGAATAGAATAGAATAGAATAGAATAGAATAGAATCTGCAAGGGACTTTGGAAGTCTTCTAGACTAGCCTGCTGTTCAAGCAGGATAACCTGTACCATTTCAGACAAGTGACTATCTAGTCTCTTCTTAAAAACCTGAAGTGATGGAGTGCCCACGATTTCTGAAGGCAAGCTGTTCCACTGATTAATTGTCCTTACTGTTAGGAAGTTTCTCCTTAATTCAAGGTTGCTTCTCTCTGTGATTAGTTTCCAACCATTGTTCCTTGTCCTGCCCTCCAGTGCTTTGGAGAATAATTTGATCCTCTCTTCTTTGTGGCAGCTCTACAAATACTGGAGTACTGCTATCATGTCACCCCTAATTTTGTTTTCTTTAGACTAGCCAAACCCAAATCCTGTAGCTCTTCTTCATATGTTTTAGTCTCCTGGACCTTGCTCTTCTCTGAACTTTTTTCCAAAGCCTCAACATCCTTTTTGTAGTATGGTGACCAAAATTGGTTGCAATATTCCAGGTGTGGTCTTACCTGGGGCTTTATAAATAGCAATAGCAATAGTACTTACTTCACAGTGCTCTTACTGCTCTCTCTAAGCACTTTACAGAGTCAGCCTATTGCCCCCAACAATCTGAGTCCTCATTTTACCCATCTTGGAAGGATGGAAGGCTAAGTCAACCTTGAGCCGGTGGGACTTGAATTGCTGAACTGCTGGCAATCAGCAGTCAGCAGTAGTAGCCTGTGCCACTAATACTTCACATAATCTTGACTTTATGCCTCTGTTTATACAACCCAGGATTGTATTAACATTTTTGGATTGTATTAACTGCTGCTGCACACTGCTGGTTCATATTCAAGTGATCATCCACTAAGACTCCAAGGTCCTTCTCACAGTTACTATTTATCAGCCAGGTCTACCTAATTTGTACTAACATCTTTGATTTTTCCTGCCTAAATGTAAAACTTTGCTTTTTTTCACATCAAAATTCATTTTGTTGGATAGGGTCTATTGTTCAAGTTTGTCAAGATCCTTTTGGATCCTGAGCTTGTCTTCTGGAGCATTGGTTATTCCTGCCAGCTTAGTGTCATCTGCAAATTTGATGAGTTCCCCTTCTATTCCTTTATCTTAAGTCATTTATGAAGATATTGAAGAGTACTGGGCCTAAGACGAAGCCTTGTGGTGCCCCACTGCTTTCTTCTCTCCATGTTTATGTAGTACCATTAAGGACTACTCATTGAGTACAGTTTGTCAGCCAGCTACAAATGTGTTCATACATTTCTGTGCATAATGTAGTTTGCATGTTGTGTATTATTCTTTGCTTTCTCTTCCAACCAGGTTTCATTTTAGGTATTGTTCCCTTATATGTGGGTGAAATAGCCCCAAGGAAGTACAGAGGAGTCATTATTTTTGTACACCAGTTCTGTTTAAATATCGGCATCCTGATAGCTCAGATCCTTGCAATAAAGGAAATTCTAGGGAACAGCACAGGTGATTTGAAGAAATGAACTGATAACCATTTTTTTTTGTGAACCTAGATCAATAATGTCTGTAATTAAACCCATAAAATCTCACTCTATAAATACATACAGGTAGTCCTCAACTTATGACCACAATCAGCCCAAAATTTATCTTCCTAAGTGAGACAATTATTGAGTGAATCACTGCAGGTGTTAAGTTAATAACACAGTTGGTAAGTGAATTTATCTTCCCCATTGACTTGGTTTGTTAGAAGGTCGCAAAAGGGGATCACATGACCCTGGAACACTGCAACCGTCATAAATATGAATCAGTCCATCATAAATGTGAAAAAGGGTCATAAGTCACTTTTTTCAGAGCCCTTGTAAGTTCAAACGGTCACTAAACAGTTCTAAGTTGAGGACTACCTGTACATAAGAACAACGTGAAATCACAAGGACCAAATAATTGCTTCTTTACCAGTATTTTATTGGCCTTAATTTAGCAGGGACCCCAAGAGGAACTTGGAATTCTTCCTTTCTGCTGCCACTCAGGCAGTTCCTCTGAATCCCATTCATGGTCTTAGGCAGTGGTGGGATTCAGACAGTTCACACCACTTCGGGAGAACCGGTTGTTAACTTTATGAGCAGTTGGGTGAACTCATTGTTGGAAGAAATCATTAGGGCAGAGAACCGGTTGTTACATTATTTGAATCGCCCCACTGGTTTTTGGTTTCCTACAATTCAAGCTTTGCTCATCAGGCTGGCCTACATTTACCAAACATTGTTTGGTAAGGAAGATGCCCTGGTTAGAAAGCATGGGAGCCCTATTAATTTAGAAACAATGGTATTGTACTGGGATGATGAGCTAGAAGATACACAATAACCCCAATTAATGGAGTGCTGCTGTTGGAAGCAGTAGCTGGTTGTAGAACTGTATTCGATTTATATCCTGCTTTTCATTCAAGAGTTCAAGGGACTTATATAATATTCCCTCCATCCCCCACAAATAATTTTGTAGAAGAGGTTGGACTGAGAAAGAAACTAACTATGATAGCTTAAGATGACTATGGGTAGATTAGAACCTGGCTCTCCCTACTTCTTACTAGGGTTATTTAGCCATTACACTACAGTGGCCCTTATGTTTGTTCTGAACATGGTCCATCTGCTCAGTAAGAATAGTATGATCTAAGTAAAAGGGAGAATTGCTTTGTCTTTGTGCTCTCTATTATCAAGGACAAACCAACTAGCCAACTCAAGAGTCAAATATAGACAGCTGCAATCCCTCCTCCTCTAGTTTCAACTGGGCTTATTTAGCCTCTAAGAAGAGGGAAGCCAACTGAATTGGGGAAGCACGGATACTTCTGAGGATGAGCCAGCAGTGAATTCACATACACCCTGAGCTCTTGATTTGGAGAAGTCCTGTTTTTGCTTGTAGTAGTCAGGTAGTCCCCATGATTTCTTTGCTGCCTCTGTGTCACTGTTCAATGTTCTGGTGCAGGTTTGCCTGCACTGATGGCTATGGGAGGAATTCTACCCTTGATTCAACTATTTCTACTGCCCTTCATACCTGAAACTCCAAGATACTTAATGATTCATAAGAAAAACGAACAGCAAGCAAGAAAAGGTAAAATAGACCTCTTAAGATGAACATCGTACATAGTGGCCACAAATATTAGCGAGAAGGGTAGTGAAAAATTCATTCCTTTTCTTTTCTCATGAGTTCTCAGGTAGATGTTTGCAATCCCTATGATATCATTAAGGTAAATCAAAGGCATGCAAAATTAATATCAAAGTTTTATATAGCAGTCATTTCAATATACACTGAACTGGTCAAACCCCAATGTAAAGTTTTGTGTCTACCTTTGAGTTCCATAATATAGGAATCCATGGAATACAGTAATCGTTTTATGTTCTAGGAAAACAGATTCCATTTCAAACTTTCTAATGGGGTCATGGCCCCATCAGAGCCTGAGTGTGTAGCGGAAGATGAGCTGGAGCTGGGGATTATGGAAGTCAAGGGGGCAGCCTCATTGGTGCTGGAGAAAAATGGGGAGGAGCAAGACAAGGCATCCATGGGTCCTTCGGGCCTGGGATGGCTTGACAGCAGCGAAGAACAGGGGCAGGAGGACCGAGAGAGCGGGAAAGAGAGGGCAGGCAGTGGAGATGAAGTGATGGAGCTCAGGTGATGAGCAAGGACCTCCTCTCCTGATCCCCAAACACAGAGAGTGGAGAGGAGGTGGGAACAGCACAGGCCAACCCAACAATTCAGGATTCACCCCACCCCTCTTCACACAAGGCATACCCGGGGATTGAGACTTAAGGAGACACTGTGGGGAGGGGCGCTTGTTGGGAACAAGTACTGAATTCGTGGAGTTTTGTGTGCCGTTGCTGACATCTGGGTTTCACTGGACTTCTTGCCCTGTTGCTGCTTTGTTTCATTGCCTTGCTGGACTTCTTGCCTTGAAGCCATTGTGCTAACAGCATTTTGCTGGACTACTCGCAGACAGAGGCTGCTGGGGGTGTGTGTAAGCACTCTGCTCCAGGACTTGCCATAAATGTGGGAGCGTGTTGGGGGAAAGTTGGAGCAATAAAGGGGAGTTCGAACGATCAGCTAGCTATGTTGCCTCCATACATTGCACGGCGCCAACACAAATGGTGTGAGATTTGACCTTGGGACCAATCAGGCTTAGCAAAAAAAATATCCTTGCAGTTCAGTTAATGTTCATGGTGACTGTGGAAAGAAGTTTAGAAGTTCTCTGAAAGGGAAAAAAAATGTAATTCTGGTTAGAAATCAGAAAGGAAATCAGAAATCAGGCACGAAACATGTATAGCGCTCTAACACAAGGGTCCCAACCCCCAGGCCACAGCTAACCTCTGGGCCTTGTGCCATTTAGAATTGGGCCGTGGAAGTGGAGGGTGAGCTCATGCATGCATAATCCACTTGTGTGAACCGTGGGCAAATGTGTGCCAAAAAGGTTGGGGAACTCTACTTTAGCATATTAAAATATAATAATGACATTTTAGATGTGTTATACTTTCAGAATATCTACAGTCCATCTTCACGGATCCACCAGAATCCATGTAGGGGTTAACTTAGTTGACTTCCAAACTCTTCTCTCCATACATGGGGGCATGACATGACGGGCAACACTTGTATCTCTCTTTTCTGAGATCTTAAAGGAAGGTGGACTATAGCTACCATTCTGACAGGCCATCTAGAGATCTCTTGTGGTGCTGCTAAGTACCAGGACAGGAGCTGCTCTTAATAGCTAATATATTGCATACTGTACCTAAAGTGAAAATGTTGTCAATTCAAGTCTGGGGAAAAGATTTGAACTCCAAACAATGACACCTGATATTCCTTGCCTGGCGAGTCCTAAACCAACTATGTGGTGTCTCTTGAAGGTCAATGTAACATTGAGATTTTTTGGCTATCCATGACTTGTTATTCACCTGTATTTTCTCTCTCCCACCTTCTTTTTCTCCCTCCCTCCCTCCCTCCCTCCATTCCTTCCTTCCTTTTCCATATACTACAAAAACTCTTGTAGTTTCTTTCTTTGAACTCTTCAATTAGCCCAAATGGTACATCAGAACCCAACAATTTTTGAACGAAGATACCTCAAATCCGCTAACCTAAAGAATGGTTGAAATTTCAAGGAGTTGCAGACCATGTTTGTTTACAAAGTTGTGGCCATAGCAGTGTCCCCCAGGGGTGAAATTCAACCACCTCGGCCTGGCTCAGGAGAGGTGGTAGGGACAATTTGAATTGGTTAAAAAAATCACCCCTGGCTGCTATTACTATTATACCAAGCCACACCCATACCCACACCCAGAGAGCTGCTAGAGAAAAATTTTGAATTTCACCCCTGGTGTCCCCATGGGCACGTGAACATGATTTCCCACTCTCTGAGTTTCCCACAAAGACAATGGGGAAGCCAGCAGGAAGTCAGAAGTCACTTCTGCTCCCATTGCTTTATTTTGCCTATTTGCACTACTTTGTCTCAAAGAATGACCTGATATGTCACACGTTATCTGGGACCATCTAAATTTCTATGAGTATTAATCCTTTTCTTTGAAATTGTAATAGTAATAAATCTAAAAATAAATAAAAGAGAGAATGTTTGGAGCAATTCACTCAGAGGGAGCGAAATCGTGGACTGACTATGGTAATGACTAGTGGTGCATAGGGAAACTTCCATTTGGAGATCAAGAGAAAGGATGCTGCTCTTCTGAGTTAATTATCTTGGACATTTGTGGCACAATTTGACCTAAATTATGAAGAAGACATGGGGACTGTCTCAGTCCTGGTGCTAGTAGCACCATTGGGTCAGCTATCTGAATGACTTTATCTTTCATTTTTCCAACGCAAATTTTTTCTCCTCACTCCAGTCCTGAAGATGCTAAGAGAGACAGATGATGTGGAAGATGAAATTACAGAACTGTATCAGGAGGATCTCGCTGAGGGTAATAACAAAGACATGACTCCACTGAAATTAATCAGGACTCCAAATATGCAGTTGCAAATCATCACTATAGTTGTTGTGGTGGCCGGTGCACAGCTCAGTGGCATAAGTTTGGTAAGCAAGGCATAAGTAGTTTGAAGAAATATTATTAATTTATTGAGATAGAATGCATATCTAGGAAACACTATTTTTGTTTTGTCTTTCTTTGAAATGAGATGGAATGAAACTCCGTATCTGTCAGGCTAAACTCGAGAACAAGGCTAAGCAATTCATCCATAGTTCAGTTCTTTATTTGCTTACACACAGTAGACAGAATCTTGCCAGACTAAAGCCTTACTACCATGGATACACCTTGGGAGATTCTAGGGCATGTCTAGTGTACTCTCTTCCTCAGTCTCCTATCCAGCTGTGGACTGTGCTGCCTCTTGTCTCCCTCCACTTTCTGGAATTGTGTTCCCTTCTTCCTGGGAAACTGTCATTTTCCTGTAGTGTGTCAACCAAATTCCCCCTCCATGGGCACCATCTTGCACAACATCCCTAATAGCACATCTCTGACAGTGATGTCATTTTCAACTCTCCTACTCCAAAACAGGTCTGTCTGGAGCACAGATTCCATTTTATGTTCAATGCCAAAGTTCACGGGCAGGCAAAAGGCACACAGTTTGACCTATGCTGTCCATCTGGCCCAGCTTACTAGAAAACAACTGTGAAAAAAAAAAAGGTCTTTTTGGGTTTCATACAAATAAATTCAGAAAATTGTCATCTGGAAGAGGCCCTCTCTTGACTTTCTCAGCATTTAGAAAGGCTTGTGTCAGAAGTCCACTTCAATCTTGTGTTATAATTGAAGGGGAGGAAAAAACCCCCAATGTAACAACATCTCACATTCTTCATCCACTTTCCAGTAATATGACAGAACTTGGTTAAAAGACACTTGTGGGGGGGCCACAGGGATGAGCTTCAAAAATTTCAGCAACCAGTTCTCTTCCCGGTTGCTGGGTGGGTGTGGCCAGGGTGGGCGTGGCCTAGTCGGCTTCCTGCACTACGGTGTGTGTGTGGGGGAGTTTTCATCTTTTTCGGAGGCTTTCCTTGAGCCTCTAGGAGGGCAGAAACAGCCTCCCCGGGCTCTGGAGGCTCTCTGGAGGCTGGAAACAGGCCTGTTTCCGCCTTTGTGGGGCCTCCGGGAGGCCTGTTTTTTTGCCCTCCTCGAGCCTCTGCGTAGGCCCTGCACTTACCTCGCATCCAAAACGGCCATGTGGAGATTCCTGGGAGGGGCGAGGTGGGGGGGGGAGGGGCAGGGGGGGAGGGCCCAGCCAGGGTTGGGATTTGGTGGTTGTTCGAACCGGCCACAATTTTAACTACGGTTTTTTTTTTTAAACAAGTTTTATTAATTCTTCAAGACATACAATACATAAATACACAAAAACACAAAACATAAAAGCATAAAAAATCTCTTTTCTGAAAGTTGCTTAGTCCTGGGTTATAACTCTTGGCACAGACACAAATTCAAATTCATATTCCTTTTATATACCATTTCATATCTTATTAACATTTTCAATTTTCTATATAACTTCTCCTCTCTTTTAAATTTTCTCATTTTTATTTTATTTATCTCCTCTCAATTCAGGTCATAATATTTATTATTCTTTGTCTGTTCTATTTCCAGCCATCCATTTATTTTTCTTCTTTAAAAAAGAAGAAAAACTTCTCCTGTACACTATATGGAGTATGATGCCTTTATCTCTCTCCCCTATATTTATAATACTTAATATAAAACACATAACTTACATTGGGATTCTGTCTGGTACATTCTAAAATTAAAACCCGTAGCAGCCCACCCCAATGGGAATCTAGGGACGTATCATTGATCCCAAAGCAGATCTCAGCAGGAAAGCAAATAACGGTCCAGTGAGATCTGTCTCCTATCAGAAGCCATCGGGAATCTATGTGGAATGAATTACGCAACTTATGATTTTTTTTTCCTTATTACAAGTAGTCCTTGACTTACGACTACAACAGTCCCCCAGATTTTTGTTGCTAAGTGAGACAGTTGTTCAGTGAGCTTTCCCTCATTTTATGACCTTTCTTGCCCCTGGTTTTAAGTGAAATCACTGCAGTTGTTCAGTTAGTAACATGGTTGTTAAGTGAATCTGGATTCCCCATTGACTTTGCTTGTTCACAGTTGACCCCGGGACACTGTAACTGTCATAAAAATGTGGACCAGTTGCCCCAAACCTCTGAATTTTGATCATGTGACCATGGGGATGCTGCAACGGTCACAGATGTGAAAAAATGGTCATAAGTCACTTTTTCAGTGCTGTTATAACTTCAAACGGTCACTATGTTGTAAGTCAAGGACTACCTATAGAATGCGTGGGCAATCCAATGCTGACAAGTCTGGTTTTTTGAGAAAATCTAAATCTGGAGCATTCAGGAAGGAAGGAAATTGAACCTAGGCTCTTCCCCAGTCTTGTGCTTTTCACATGCATGTGTTCCTAAATCCCACCTACCTAGTGAATCCTGGGAAATATAGTGCATGCATAAGTACCAGGACATGAATTTGCTCTTAACAGCTAGTATATTGCATACTGTAACTAAAGGGAAAAGGTTGTCAATTCAAGTCTGGGGAAAAGATTTGAATTCCAAAGAATGACACCTGATATTCCTTGCCTTGGGAGTCTTCTCTTGAAGGTCAATGTAATATTGAGATTTTCTGGTTATTCATGACTTGTTGTTCACCTGTATTTTCTCCCTGCCTCCCTATTTTGCCCTGGCCTACTTTCAGGCATATTTTTCTACAGAACGCATTTTCTTGATGATGATTGATCGCAGCAACCTGAAGTACTTAAATTCTGGAGCAATCATTATTATGACCTGCTCTGTTCTATTAGGGGTAAGAAACTACCTCCTCTGTAACCAGGTTGTTCTAGTGATTAAAGAACCTAGCTAGAAACCTGAAGACTGTGGGTTCTAGTCCTGCCTTAGGCATGAAAGCCAGATGGGTGACTTTGGCCAATCACCAGGCGATGGTGAGCTCTAGTCCCACCTTAGGCATGAAAGCCAGCTGGATGACTTTGGCCAATCACCAGG